TCCTCCGCGTAGTCGCCAGTCGGCACTGACTGGCGGATGGAATTCGGAGGAGGCCTACTCTGTGCGATCTGATGGGACGCAGGGAGGTGATTGGCTGCAGAGATTGACTGCAGAGATTCACTTAATAGTTGTGGCTGGAACAGTCATAAAATGGGCAAATTTCACTTAACAAATGTCTCACAGCAACAAAAATTTGGGGCTGCATTGTGATCATAAGTTTAAAGCATGGTATGGGGGAAATCCTTTGGGATGGGAGATATATACTCCAAAATGCTGGCTGGAGAATTCTGGGAGCTGAAGTCCACAAGTCTTAAAGTTTGAAGACCTCTGATTTAGACTTATGACCACTTCTTAGTATTTTACAGTCCTCTCTGAGTGGTTTACAGAGTCATCCTATTGCCCCCAACAATCCCATCCTTTGCATTTTCCCCTGGTTTCTCTTGTTACTACCTGGCCTCAAAGCTGCACCTTTACTGATTTCACCGCTCCTAAGTTCCATCTCCTGATTCCCATGTCTGGATTGCAGTGCTATGGCTATTTTTTATTTCTTTTTTCTATTTTAAGAAAGTGGTCCTGAACATTTGGATTCAGATACAAAACAAAGCAAAGCAGCCTCATTTAAATAGTGCAAAAGGAAATACTAGGTAAGGTGATAGCAATGGCTGATCTTTTCACCCTGAAAGCACCTTGGTATTTTTGACACAAACCTGGATTATAGGACCTTTGGTAGCTCTCTGAAAATTGTGGAAATACATAAAAGAAGCCTGACCCTATTACATTCCTTTATTAAATCTATCTATTTTATCTGGAGTGATTTGAAAATTCTCAGGTTTTTTTTTGTCTCATTAACTTTTATTTGTTATCTGTTGTATTTCTCAGGTAGCGATGACAAACTTAAGACAGTAAACAAACTACAAACAATTGCAACACTCTCTGGTTTGGTTGACGTAAAAGAGGTAAGCATTTTGATATTGAGTTTTGAAGAGATCGTTTTAGAAAACTACACTTTAAAAAGGCCTTTATACTGCTGTCCGAAATTACAGCTTTATAAAGCTGGTTGCTAGAAGTCAGCCTTATGATCTCAGTTCATACTTCAAAGGAAATACAAAATACATTTGAGAAGCAAAATATTGAATTTACATAGCGAATAAGCCAAAATGCCTGTGGGAAAATCTTCTTTTAATAGGGGGAAATGTTATATTGTTTGTAATTAGCCATCATTGGTAATAATGAACACTTTGTTCCTATCTTCCCTGCCTCGATGGATTAACTGGTATAGTAACTTGGTCCCCCCCCCTTTCTTTTCAGCTGCAGAAGGATACTTTAACCTCAGAACAAATTCAAGCTGTCCAGAAGCATCTGGATCTACAGTGCAATGAAATTCTAGCAGTTCAGTTAGAAGGCAAAAAGCCCAATTTTGAGGTTGGATCTTCAAGTCAACTCAAGCTTTCTACCGTTAAGAAACCAACAACTGGTAAAAAAGCTATAGCCAGAGGCTTTTATCTTCTCAGATCTTGCCCCTAGGTTCACTTATGCACATCAGTAGAAACCATCCTAAGTATGGGTAAATTATGTTTAATATATACCCCAGCATTATTTTGTCCTGTTCAAGGCAGTGGGTATAATCTTCCCATCTCCTGTTTTTCCCACAAGAACCGCCTTGTGAGGTGGTTGGGTTAAGAGAATGGACTAGCCCAAAGTCACCCCACTGGTTTAATGCCTGAGGGAAGACTACAACATCCAGTCTCCCAGTCCAGCATCTTCACCTCCACATCAAACTAGTTCAGAAAAGCCTGGCCCTTTGGCTGTTGATTAACAGGTCCTGTCTCAGTTATAGCCCTATTTCAGCCTTTTCAGGCGAAAAGAATAATACTGATCAGATTTTTCCTTCATTACATTTTTTTTGTTTAAATGGATTATTAAAGAATATACTTAGCTCAGAGGTATCAAAAATCCCTGGGATTGTTTTATATCCGTGATGGCAAATCTGTGGCACACGAAGGCCTCTCCGTGGGCACGCACACCATCACCAGCTGCTCTTCTGTTTCTGATGTGCAAATGCACACCAGTCAGCTGATCTTCACGCATGCCGGAGCCCTGGAAACCTGAAGACCAGCTGGCCAGTGCGCATGCGCACTCCAGCCACTTGGTCTTTGGGTTTCCGTGCTCCGGTGCATGCAACCAGCTGGCTGGCATGTATATCTATGCCAGAAACCAGAAGACCGGGTGGATGGCGTACATATGCACACCAGCCAGCTGGTCTTCACGTTTCCGGGGCTCCGACCTGCATGTTCCAGTTTGGGCACTCGGTACCGAAAAGATTTGCCATCACTGCTTTATATCATAGGATCAAGAAGAGGTTTTGAGGCTTAACACATCATCTTTACAGTTGTGTTCTCTGTGGTAAATGGGTTGTTTCAGAAAAACCACGGGTGGATCCCACAGCTGCAAAACTCTGGACTCTTTCTGCCAACGACATGGATGACGATGATGTGGTAGGTGCAGAAGGGCCCCTGACAGACAGCCTCACCGAACGTGATATGTAACGTTATGTTTTCTGAATTTCACATTTTTCCCGAGCTGCCTCCTAAGCCAGGAAAAAGAGGCAAAGTAAGGTTGGGCAGCTCCACCCAAGAGGAATTTTAAAACTATTTAATATGTGGGTATTTTCTCCCCCCAAATCTGGATTTTCTACAGTTCCCCTATTTTGATAGTAGCAGCACTCTGCTTTATTATTGCTGCTTTTCTTTAAAAAGTCTACAAAGCTGTTCAGCAACTCTAAACATTAACAAACGTCCCCAAATGTAGCTACAGGGATCTTTACTTCCTGTGGATCAAGGATTGTTTGGGATTTGTTTTCTCTGGGTCCTTATTGTCTTCAGGATCTCCTGGATTCAGATGAGCTTCTGGATCCTGAGGACTTGAAAAAGCCAGATCCAGCATCTCTCAAAGCACCTTCCTGTAAGGAATCTGGAAAGAGGAAAGCCTGTAAAAATTGGTGAGTGTTAAAATAAGTCAAGCACATCCCCGTACATACCTGAAGCACAGTAACAAAAATGCTGCAGAGAAAATAACTGTAGAAAATAGAGAGTGTCGAAACCTTCTAAATCAGTTTCTCAAATTGACAATTTTAAGATGTGTGGTCCCAGAATTTCCCAGACAGAAATTGGAGTTGAAGCCCACTTGCCAAGTTTGAGAAACCCTGATTTAAAATTATTGTTCTTATGATGGGGTGAACACATTTATTTGGGGTTAAATGAGGAGTTGGAGTTATTTAAATACTAGTTGACCCGTAATCCGTTGGATTATCCTGTTCAAGATGCCCAAAGTGATAACAGAATGGCTACAGGTGAACAAAGGGAATGAGTTCTGCCTTCCTACCAGTTTCCTCATCAGCTTTGCACGTGGGGACTTGCTAGAATGCCAGAAATCACATTCATGTAGCCACAGGGACGTTGCAACAGCCACAATTTTAACACTACAGGTAGTCCCCGATTTACAACAGTTCATTTAGTGACTGTTCAAAGTTTCAACAGCACTGAAAAAAAGTAACTTATGACTGTTTTTCACATTTATGACCATTGCAACATCTCCACTGTCACCTGATCAAAATTCAGTTGCTTGGCAACTGACTTATATTTATGACGGTTGAAGTGTCCTGGGGTCATGTGACCATCCCCTTTTGCGACCATCTGACAAAGTCAACGGAGAAGCCAGATTCACTTAACAAACGTATTACTAACAGCTGCAGTGATTCACTTAACAATTGTGGCAAGGTCATAAAATGGGGCAAAACTCAACACGTCTCACTTAGCAACATATATTTTGGGCTCAATTGTGGTCATACGTCGAGGCTTACCTGTACAAGGGGCCTGAAGATCTGGAATTTTTAATCCCACAAGAGTAACGAGTCTTTGATTTTGGATGCATGCTTTTAAGTTACGCCATTTGAGCCGCCTTGATTCAAAAATTGTTGCCCTACAGCACTCCATTTCACACCATTGAAAGTTACAAACAAAAGACACAGGAGAGATTTAATAGTATATACCATGTTTCCTCAAAAACACAACCTACTCCAAAACTAAGTCCTAGGTTGATTTTTACATGTGTTCCCAATAGAAGCCCCAAACCCCAAAATAAGCCCTAATTAAGACCCTGTCCACTCCGGGGTGTGGAGTAAAAATTAAGCTAGGGTGAGGATGGGGGGATGGAGCTGCCCTACTACTTACCTTCAGACAGTTGCAGCCATGCCTCACACACCCCTGACATCTGCCTTGCCGGCCTATTTCTTCTGCGGCCGGCAAGGCTTTCCTGAAGGCCTCTGACATCAAAAAGGAGGCTGGGGGCAACGCACACAAGTGAGGTGAGTCAGTGGAAAACATCCTCCCAAAATAAGACCTGCTGCCCTTTTTAGTGGCAAAAAATATGTGTCAAGGTCTTATTTTGGGGTAAACACAGGTACACTGACAACATGAACTTGACGATTCTTGGAGTTTTCCCCTTTTGAGAACATATGAGCAAAAAAGAAGGAAGGACAGACAGACATGCATAGATGTTTCCTCCGTCAGAGAGGATTCGCAAGGACAAGACAATCTTCAGGGTCTCTTTATGCCTATTAAACTTACTGCATCTCTTTCCTCCTCAGCACCTGCGGCCTTGCTGAAGAACTCGAGCAGGAGAAGAAAGGCGCACAGCCAAAATCTGCGTGTGGCAACGTAATTATTTTCCCCCCCCCTCGATCCAGGCATTGTTTTGCCTAACAGCAATTAGCATATAATGCCAGCTGCATGTCCCACAATGATCATTTATAGAATAAGGATTTTTATTAATGAACAAATAGGCCACTGCTAAATGTAGTTGTTGCGTTTATATATTTTTAGTAAGTAAGAGACATGGAGGAAATGCTATTTTAGAGGGTGCTATTTATTGTCTCACAGGGTGAAACACCTTTCCCCTTAGAATGCTTCCAGTTTAACTTTTGTTTCTAACAGAGAGGGTGTGTTTGATTCAGACGCACATTTGATTGATGGCATTTCAAGCAATTAACTAGGTTTTTTAAAAAAGTGATAAGTTCTTTTGATATGAGGAATCAGCAGCCAACATTCACGTTCACCATCTGCATATGCGACATGAGTTTTGCAGCATGGTGGGTTTTGGATCTTGGTGCCGTAACACAATATAGATCCAGGAGAGCAGGTTTTGGATGACACCCTTCTCTGTGGGGAGGCATTGAGGCAGCAGCTGTGCGACAGTGTTTCTCCCAGTTCCGTATCTAGCTGGATTAGTCATTTACCAAATTTAATAGAGGCGCTACCCCAGTGGATTCTGGGTGGATTACACAGTATAAAACAGGTAGTTTTCAACTGAGCGGTTACAACAGACCCCCCTCCAGAGCTACCGGTACTTAGAATTTAGTTTCAAAGTTCCCCCCATCACGTGATCACAATTTGGGTGCTTAGGAACTGGCCTACACTTATGGCCATTGCAGCATTCCGTGGACACATGATTGAAATTGACATATTTTTTTCTGCCAGAAACCAGTTTACTTTTGGTGTTGTATTCACTCCGGACCTCCTTGGTTGGCTTATTGTCCGCAATGTTTGCTTAACCACCACCACCATGAAAGTGGTGACTCTCTTAAGAACAGGCACAACTGACGACTATCAATCTTGTCAATTATGGCCGTAAATCAAGGAGTGCCAGTGCTAGATTAAAGCGATTAAAAATGTAAACCGAATGAAATAAGACAGCCGGGACTAAAGACAGCCATCAAAAGAAGCCTGACAGTTCTTCCCCTCCCCATTGTTAACTCCAGGCCTCCGACCAGGTCTTAAGGGCTTTCCAGAATGTCAGTAGAGTGAGTGTTGGCCGTATTTCTGGGGTGGGGAGCTAGAGGTTGGGGGCTGTGAGAGAGAATACCCTCTTCCTAAGACACTGAGCTTGTCTATCAGAAAGGTTGGCAGTTTGGTGGTTCGAATCCCTAGTACAGGTTTCCTGCATGAGCAGGGGGTTGGATTAGATGACCTCCAAGGTTCCTTCCAACTCTGTTACTGCTACTATTATAGGAAGGCAGCCTTTTATTAGAAGGGGCCTGGAGCACTCCCTGCTTTGCCCAACTGTCATGGGATGCTGCTTCATTTATGGATTTGTTTATTTATTTGTTAATTTTTATGCAACCCATCTCTCCTGCAAGGTGACACTGGGTGGTGTAAAACCAGGACTCTGATGGTTCCTTGCAGGGAATAAGAACAGCCTAAGCAGCCTTTGGGCTCTTCAACAAGTCTGCATCTGGCTCCCAGAGACATCTGGCCTGTTTTATTTCCCCGTCCTGTCATTAATGCCAGGTGCAAGAAGTCAGGAGGCAGGATGGGGTTCCAAAGTCCTACAAGTTTATTCCATGCCACCTATACACAAGAATCCAAACTATTGAGGGTCCAAGTGAATTGGTACCAGATAAGAGTCAGCGGACTTCAAGGGTGGCCGGAGTTAGGGCCTGGAGACTCCGGACTGATGATGTGTTTGAGCCCACCCTCGGGCTCAGCCTGGTAGTCTTCTACAAGTAAGGGCACAAGCCACCCTGAAGGCTGGCTGCTCTTTGTCTGATGGATTTGCCTTCTTCAGATGCCACTTTTGTTTCTCTCTAGTGCTACCTAGGGGATGCCTTCCGCTGCGCCAGCTGCCCTTACCGAGGCATGCCAGCCTTTAAGCCTGGCGAGAAAATCCTCCTGAACGAAAACAACCTTCAGGATTCCTGAAAGAGGAGCAGCAACTCACAGCTTCCTTGGTGGTGCTTCATGGTTTGGACACACCCGGCAGTTTCTCTAGTAAAGAGGGAGGAAGTCTGGACGGGGGAGCGGGGGGGAGAAATAGGTGGACCAAGGCAGATTGTGTTCCAGACTCCCTTCCCAGTTGGGATCCCTTTCAAGGCTCTTTGACTGACATTCTTTTTGAAAGGTTTGCATCTAAATTTTGGCTGTTATCACATACCCTGCAGATAAAAAGATCTTGCTGGCAATTGGCATCAGCCTTGGAGCCACTCAGAATTTGAAAGGGCAACCTTGTCCTTTCCATTTACTTTGCCTNGGTAGAAAACATCAATCAGCTGCTTTACTGTGAGTGTTCAGAAGTATTCATTATCATGGTAAATCTATTTGAGTTAAAGATGACATGTGCCAGTTATAAAGGAGAACTCTTCATTATTGTTAATACGTTAGAACAGTGTTTCCCAACCTTGGCAACTTGAAGATGTCTGGACTTCAATTCCCAGAATTCCCCAGCCAGCATTCGCTGGCTGGGGAATTCTGGGAGTTAAAGTCCAGACATCTTCAAATTGTCAAAGGTTGGGAAACACTGCGTTAGAACACTAATGCTAAGTCTTATGCTCTGTGCAGGATGGTCCTTGGTTAACGACTGCCCTGTTTAATGAGCATTCGGAATTATGATTGGTCCCTAATGAGGAGATTTATACAGTTCTTTGAACTTGTGACTGTCAAAGTATCCTTGCTGTCTTGATTGAGAGTTGAGCACTTGGCAACCAGGGCACATTTATGACTGTTATTGCATCCTATGGTCATGTGATTGACATTTTTGCACCTCACAGCTGGCTTCCAACCAGCAAAGTCTAGGCCAGGGGTGTCAAACTGGATTTTTTTTGATGGCCAGATCAGCATTGTAATTCTCCGTGGGTGGGCCAGAGGAGGGGCGGTGGTGGTGGAGATGGGAGGGATGCCTCCTGCAGCACCTTGCTGGCCAAAACACACCAAGGTTTTGGCCAGCAAAGGCAGGGCAGATCGGTCCTTTGTATTTCCATGCTGGCACCACGGGTCAGATTTAAGCACCCTGCAGGGCGGATTCGGCCCACGGGTCTTGAGTTTGACACCCTGGTCTAGACTCTAGGGAAGCTGGCAGTCAAACTGCAAGTTGCAGTCACATGATGTTCCACTTAATGACTGTGGGTGACTTGCTTAACAGTAGCAAAAATTATGTAAGTTGGCACTGTCACATGGTATTTCAATTGCGACCATGTTGCTTAGCAACACAGTTAATAGTTATTAAGTGTGGGCTATCTGTAGTTACAGGTAATAATTGCTCAGACACTGTGTTGAGATTACTCCTTTAGTCTGGGACAGCAGAGAGAAACCTTAAATGAGTATCGGAGGGGGGCTTTTTTATTCAACAATAAATGAAATAGTCTATCCAAAATACATCCCCCTAACAGTGCATGGCCAAAATAAGTTTCCTGATAAGGGATATTCCAATTCACCCCCTTTCTGTTGCCACTTACTGTATTACCAAATGGCAATATTCACAATCAACTCAAAATGATGATAATTAACTTTGCAAATAATGGAAAATAAATTCCTTTTTCTATCTGAAGAGATGGATCCAAAGAAGTTTTAGATAGCTATCCACACAATAGAAGAGAAAAGGAAATGTATAAATGCAGATAGATACTGAAAGAAATAACGTGAAGTAAAAAAAGAACCTAATAAAATGTAGGTTAAAGCTCATTGTGATAACATATTTTTCAAAGTATAAGATGCAACTTTTCCCCCACTAAAAGATTGTGGAAATGTTGGTGCAGCTTAGACACTGAATACAGCCATTTTGGATCTCCTGAAGCCGTGCCCCCGTATCCCCAAAAGGGGGGCGTTTTTGCCTTGCCCCGTCCCTGCTGAAGCCTCTAGAGGGCTGCTGGGGGCTGAGGGAAGGCAAAAACGTTTTTTTCTTACTTACCTCTTTGAAATCTTGGTGCGTCTTATAGTCTGAAAAATAAGTTATATAAAACCCGAAGGCTAAACAGGAGTGGAGGAGCAAAGGCAGTGGCACATTTTGGAGCTGAGGATGTGCTCTGGATAGAGCAGGTCTTTGCAGATCTTTACATCAAAGATCTACCTCTTTATTTTATGTTGTTTCTCATAAAAATTTAAGAGAATTTTATATAGGAGCCAAGGAACTGAGTGTGGTCTATGACAACGTAAAATAAGAGGCCTAGTAAAGGAATCAAACTCAAAGTAAGCTGCAGCCAACTGATGGGTAAAAGGTTCACCTGAAGTCGGAGGCTCAGTTGTCACATCCAGAAAGGCCAGAATCAAGGCAGGCAAAGCACATTCTCAGAAAACAGAACATAACTCACAACTTCCACAATAATATTTAGCACCGAATAAGGCGACCTTCTTTGTGGAACTCCGGGTCCTTGATTGGGCAAATACACAAAGGGAATCCTCAGCTTGGAAATCAATCTCCACAAGAGTTTTCCAGCCTGGTCACTAACTCCATAAACGTTTATTCATTGCATGGAAGTCATCAGTGACTAAACACTAAAGCCGTGTTTTTTGAACTTGGCAACCTTAAGCTGTGTAAACTTCAACTCCCAGAATTCCACGGCTAGCATGTTGGGTACACGCATATACTTAAATGTCTAAGCATCATGGGTACATGTATCTGCTTCCCATTTTATTTTCTCAGCGTCCCACAAAGAGTCCAGCTTTGATGTGGTTCTTTCGGGGCTGGTTCCTGGCAGCCTAACACAGCACAGCGCAGAGCTTCTTGCTGAACTAGCTCGGATTGTCAAGCCTGGAGGTCGTGTCCTTTTGAAAGAAGCCGTGACCACCGAAACAAGTAAATCTTTAATCCTTCGCTTACCTCAGGCCGTTAAGCCACCCTCACTTTTCCACTTATGGAGAATAAAGGGCCAGGACAGACTTGATTGATTTAAACACACTTGTACAGGTAATCTTCGATTTACCACAATTCATTTAGTGACCATTTTGGTACAACAGCACCAAAAAAGGGAGTTATGACTGTTTTTCAACTTATAAACTATTGCAGCCTCTCCATAGTCACATGATCAAAATTCAGACACTTGGCAACTGACTTATATTTAGAACAGTTGCAGTGTCCAGGAGTCATGCAATCACTTTTTGGTGGCTCCGTGTTTAGAGTGCAGTACGGCAGGCTACTTCTGCTGACTGTTCAATTCTTAACAGCTGAAGGTTGACTCAGCCTTCCAGCCTCCCCAGGTCAGTAAAATAAGGGCCCAGATTGTTGGGGGCAGGAGGCCAACTCTAAACCGCTTAGAGAGGGCTGTAAAGCACTGTGAAGCAGTATATATTAAGTGATGCTGCTAGAGTCAATGAGGAAGCCAGTTTACAACTTAACAACTATGCCACTAATTTAACAACTTTTTTTTTTTTTTTTTTTAATTGAAAATTTATATGCCGCCCTTTTCCCTGAGGGGACTCAGGGCGGCTTACAACAGTGAAGGGAAGGGAGTGCAAGACAAGACTTAAAAAGAAAAGAATCGTGATTAAAAGAAAATTGATCATAAAAANTCAGCTAGCCATACCCTTACTGGGATTTGAACTTGGGCTGTTTTACATGTTAGCCAGTTATATTAACCTTTAAGCCACAAGCTCTCCTCCCTTATCAGCTGAGCCAGGGGAATGATTAGGTGTTTTGCCCATATTTGAGCATACCAGGTGCTTTGACAAAACACCTAATTTATCTATCTATCTATCTATCTATCTATCTATCTATCTATCTATCTATCTATCTATCTATCTATCTATCTATCTATCTAACAGCTATAGAAAGGCCTTCCATTGTGATGACCATCACAAGTGTGGAAGACCCTTAGGAAAATAAGAATCCCACAACATTTTGTTGTCCTTGCGTGAAACCCGTATATGTGTCACATTCCAGATGGAAGAAAATGAACCAGGCTTCCAAAGAATGAGGCAAAGCTGTTGCTCATTGGCAACATCAGATCTCACAGGTCCATACCCTGATCTTCCAAGGTAAAGACAAGCTAACAGAACTTTACTGAGTCCATCAGTCTATCCTATTTAGGGTCCTTGGGACACCAAGAATTATTCAGTGTGCATCAGAATTTGTTTTCTTTTCCTGGCCAAATACCTGCTCCCTCTCCCATGTGAGGTTCTAATCCAGGAGTGGCAAACTGGATTTCTTCAAGGGCCACATCAGCATTGTAGTTCTCCGCGGGCTGACAGGAGGGGAGATGGCACAGATGCCTCCTGCAACACCCAACCAAAATGGGGTGCGGGGGGGGCACTGCCCCCCTGCCCCATTTTCAGCCTGAACAGCGTCCTGCAACACTTTACCAGCCAAAATGGACAAGGGCTCTGCGCAGCCCCTTTTTGGTCAGCAGGAGGCTGGGGAGGCCGAAAACGTGCCAAACATGCTTACTGAGGCCCCCGTGCAACCCCTTTTCAGCCAGAGGCACCACAAGCCAGTCCTTTGATATTTCCAGGCCGACCCCACGGGCCAGATCCAGCCTGTGGGCCTCAGGTTTGACAACCCTGCTCTAATCTTAGCATCATTTTGCTAGCATGGAAATTGCTCACAACCAAAAGTTGTAAACTCAGTCATAAATCGAGGACTGCCACTTTGGAATTTTGCTTACTGTTTCAGCAGCCCATTTTATTTTATTCCAATCAGTAGCAACTTTTAAGTTTTGTTGTTTGTTTTATCCTGGCCAACAGACTAATCAAGAGTGAAGAGATTTCCACCCAATAATGTAACTTCAAGAGAAACCTGATCTTTGCTGCTTTGTTTTTTTAAACAGTTTACATTGCAGTGCAAGTTGATCTTTTGAAATGACTGTTTAACGTTGTCAGTCCCTTTAAAAGCTCCCTTTGTGTGTTTATATATCATAACTCTTCCAGCTGCATAAAATGCATTATTAAGAAGCAGCATGTTAACACAGTTACAAAGAGCAGATCTAAACAGCAACCAATTATCAGATTAAATAATGCAGGCACCAGTCTTGAACTATGAATCATTGACTTGCCACTTCCTTTTTCCTCGTAATTTCTTTCTTTAAATATTTTTGTTTCTGTACTTCTAAGTATCTCTGAAGTTAAATTTTTAATTTAGTCTTAATTGCAACATGGTTAACAGTGTAGAAGAAAAATCAAAGTGTCTGAATTCTTTGCTCCCCCTCCCCTTTTATGCCTGACTGGGAATATGCTCTTGATTTTTTCAGAGTAGCACAGAGATGCAACATTTATACTTCCCTTTAGAATCAGATCCAAAACATTCCCCATAAATATGCTAGCGGATCTCCTGTAAACTTTTAAATATTTTTCTTGGCAAAGTGAGAGTTTTATTGATCCTGATAAAGCCAGTTTCTTCGGTAAAGTGATTAGTGGCATTTCAAACGCAGAAGGCTGAGAATGAGGGCTTTACGCTTCCTAGGAACAGCATGGAGAAAGACACCACGGCTGAATGTCTGCATCAGGCTCGACCACTGACTTTTACGTAGCTTTCACAGAGGACTATCCGTACACCTAACATGGCACCAGTTTAGATTGTATAGTTGGTTATTTCTTTTCCATTAAAATTATTATTGTGGTCCCTGAGCAGAATTCTAAACAAAAACACATTAGAAACAAAACAATTAAAGTAACACAATTGAGGTGGATAAAAATCAATTTTTTAAAGAAATTTTAAAAATGAATTTTTAAATTTAAATTGGATTTTTTTATTTGAATCAGATTTTTTGTATCAAATTTATTTTAATAAAATGCTTTTGGAGTAAAAATCTATCTAAAGGTAGTGTTCTATTTAAGACACATTAATAATTTAGTTTATTGAGTTATTGAGCATAACAACTGCAGTGATTGACTTAACTCTGGCAAGAAATGTCATAAGAGGCAAAACTCACTTGACATCTCACTTAACAACAGAAATGTTGGGCTCAATTGTGGTCGCAAGTCAAGGACTACCTGTAATCTGCTTTACATTTACAGTATAAATAGCTCCAAGCATATATTAAGCCAACAATGGAAAAAGCACACACTACAGTAATTATTTAAAGTTATTTTTTTTTCCATATTGCTATATTGGCCAGCACAGAGCAAGTAACCCTTGCCAGGACAAAAAAATTTCATCTATTCTTGGGAGAAAATTTCTTCCCCACTGCCAAAGTGACAATCAGTGCCACCTCGGATAACTGGCAAGTGCCGTCAAGTGAAGAGTTCAACATAAGAGTATGGGGGAAATCCTGAACTTTAACCAAACCATTGGCAACTCATACCTGATCTTGGCTGAACTCCCAAGTTGTGTTTTTTTTTAAAAAAAATCCCCAAAGGCAGCCGACAATTTTAGAAATATTGCCAAGAAAACTGGAGTTATCTGAGGTGAGCTTGGCTTTAAAAACATACACTTATATTTTTTTTCCCAAACATTCATTAGATATTCATGGTATGTTTATTTTTTAATCTTCTAATCTTTTTGTAACTCCTCCTTTTTGAAATAAGTTGTGTTTGTGAGGGTACAAGTTTTGGCCAACAATGTCAATCAGGGATGTTCAATCTTGGGCAATTTTAAAATGTGTAGATTTCAACTCCCAGAAGTCCCCAGCCAGCAGGAAACCATGTTCTTCTAAATCAATCCCTGCCCCAAATCCCACAGCCCCCAAATCATGAGATAAGAAAATCACTCCTTGTTCACAAAGACTTAGCTGGGATTTTATTAGCGAAAATACCAACGCTAGAATCAGAAATGTCAATAGAAAAATAAAAACCGGTACTGGGAGATTTATTCTCCCTCTGTACAAAGATTGGCTTGCATGTGCTGCAGGGGGTCAGAGGCATGCAAACGCGGTGGGCATTTGCCGACAAGACGGGCACTCTGGCAGGTTTGCAAAGGAAACATTTGCGGCAAGGAAGGAGTCCATCAGCTCTGCCTTTAAACCCAGAGGCTTCCTTCTTCCATTGCAAGTCAACGTGTTCCATTTCGCAAATGTAAATATTTGGTAAAGGCAGTGAACAAAACAGCCAGTCCTGTTCTTACATTTGGATGAATAAGAGTGGGCTTTCACTCTTTATGTATATATATTTTCAAGTTTCACCAAGCTCCCTGCTGCTGGGTAATAGAGATTGCGGATTTAATTCTTCCTGACTTGGTTGATCCTTTTCATCTTTCGTGCTCACTAAAGCTAGGATTCCAACCGCCGAGTGCAAACAATCAAGTGAATTCAGGAGGCTGAAGGGGAAAAGACGCTTATACCTTCTTGAGCGACTGGCTCAAGAAGGAAGTTAGAAAGGCCTGGCAAAACTCCAGGGAAAGTATAAAATCAGAGAGCTAAGGGAGCAATTTGCCAAAGGAAGGAAGATCTTCAGATCGGGGTAATCACATTCAACCAGCTGTGGAACGCATCGAAAGCAACAGGCGTTTGAATGATCACGATGTTTCCTGACATTCTTGCCACTTAATCCTGATCCACACATTAAAAATGAGAACAATTGCACATGTTAAGCCTTTACCGTTTAAAACAGACTGATGGGCAACCTTTCGAGAGCTGTAAGATGTGCTTAAATTAGGGGAGGGGGCACAGTATGGGAATATGGCAAAGCAGGGAGAGCCCTATCACCTGTGAGCAGAGGCAAGCTGCCCTGGGGTGTGCTTTTCAGCTGTGTTTTAAGCCTATGTTACGATACAAACCACATTTTTAGCATGTGTGTCCTTCGTAAAGTGGGAAAAAAGCACACAGCCAAACTCATTTTTGACCAGAATAATTGAGGGAATCCTTCACAGTGATAAAAATGGGGAGGGGGTCTTGCAGGTGGCCTGTCTTGTGACCCAGAGCACTTTTTTTTTTAAAGGATGAATTGAGCTCAGGAAAATGGGTTTGAGAAGACACACCAATAATCATCCAGGAGGCTTCACAAGAATTGAGGTGGGGAGGGGCGGAGTGCAGAGACAGGATATTTTGGGGAGAGAAAGGGGGGGGTGAAGGTGCTAAAGGACAGGTCCGTCCTCCCTCCCTCGCTCCCAGCAAATGAATCCTGCCATGCCCTTGGGGAAAATATACTGAGATCTGCCTCCGTGAGGCAGACTGGGCAGCAGCGCGTGGATGCCACTGAGAAAGGGCACTGACGGGTTGCACAACTGATCCCAGGAGGGAGGGCAACGTTGCCCAGGCACTTGTGAGTTTCCCAAAGCAATCCAAGCCTGCCTGCCTGCCTGCCTGCCTGCAGGGAACGGAGGATTCCTAGACAAGCATTATCCAAAAGTGCAGCCTTCCTTCGAACCCACCCAGCGACAAAGGGTGACACAGCTCTCGTACATTTCCCACGGTCTCTCTGGGAGTCCACCAGATGTGAATTAAAAGAGAGCATCTCAGGTTTCAAAACGCATTTCTGGATCTTGCCTCCAACCGCTCTGTCCCCTGCAGTAAACCACCTGCCAGCAAAATTACATTTTAAATATGTCCTGCGTGCTTGAGGTAGCAGTAAATAATTTTCCTTCTCGGCACTAATAGGGAGGCCGAACACTTCCCACCAGAGGGGGCAGGTTGAGGCGGCTGCTTGGGCTGCCTCCCCTTCCCATTCTTCCCTAGGACAGCCATCAGGGTGAAGCCTCCCCCCCCCCCACCCCCCAGCAGTAACCCCACTCAGCAGTGTTAACTGAGTCACCCCACTCAGATAATACAGAACGGTTTCCCCATTCTTGTTTGATCTCTGGAGTCAAATCGGCATCACTCCCCGAACCTAAACCAGATCTCCATACTTTTTTAAAAAACGCTCAGGTTGGCACTTCAGGTTACAAAAATGTCACAAATGATAAACATAGAACCGGTTGTCGCTTCAGACCCGGCGCCTGAATGCTCGTTCACCCACAGCATTGAGTGAACCATTTTCACATTTCCTTGTGGGTCATCCCCTTCTTCTTAGCCCGAGGACAAATCCCTCCAGCAATATCACAAGGCGGACATTGAAAGCAGCTGAGTCAGTGACGATGATGATGATGGACCCACAACTCTCTTGACTTTGACTGTCTGACCTTAGATGAGGGAGGGTGACCCGGGAAAGGTTTCTTCTCAAAAAAGTCAGGCTCAAGTTAAGCGAAGCTGCTGCAAAGCCTCCCTTTCTTTCAAAAGGTATTGCACGAAACTATTTGGTGATGATTTCTCATGCTTTCGAACCACCTGCTCCATGATTCCCAAGCGGCACTGCTCCGGTGGTTTTCCAGGACCAAGGGGGAGGGGGGCTAAAGAGTAGCCAAAATCCGTAAAAAGGAAATCATCACTACGCAGAAGGTCTGTCCCACTCCCCACGTCAGAGCCACAAAGGGGATCATCTTCTTCCCAGCAGCTCGGAAGACCCCAGCAATCGCAGCACCTGTACAGGAAGAGGGGGGGGCAGGACACCTTTACTGAGCTGCCGCATACTTTTGGGGGATTTCTCCCTCTTCCCAGATAATGCTCGACCTACTATCATAATGGGTGACGTGTAAACCAGACCTTTCCCCTGCTAGGATCCAGAATTGTAATGTTGTGGTCTGCCAGCAGAGCTGGCGGCAGAGTCGAACAGTGAGGAGGTTGGGGGGAACATGGGCCAGTCCTGGAGTCTGGGGAAGGCTCTGATGAGGGCTCTGTATCAGAGGCAGAGAGGGGGCCAGGGCCGTCCAACAGTTATCAGCTGCCTTCAGAGTCGGAGATCGGTGGGGCAGAAGAACAGCTGGAGCCTGTTCCCGATGTGCGAATGCGCAGAGCTGCCAGGAGAAGGGAACAGCTAGGGAATGGGTTGACTCAGGAGTAAAGGCACAAGTGGACGCTGAATGGCCCCTCCCATAGGGAATAAAGAGGAGCAAAAGGGGAGTGGAGTTTGCAGGAGACAATTAGTTTGCTTAATTGGTTCGTGCCTCTCAAAGATTCATTGCCAAGTACAGTGTTGCGATCGCCCTGACAGTTCTCCAAGCCAGATAAGGTCTGTGACTGTAAATTCACCTTTGAATGGCTTTGCTGGATGCAAATGAGAGGAATTCACAGTAACTAAATAAAAAGGGGCAAGGAGTCTGCTTTGTGGTTTGGGGAAGCCTAGGGTCAGAACATCTACCCAACAAATTCTGCCAGCATCAACCTACTTGTTAAAGTCCCGGCAGCTAACGGCCCAACGAGGCCCATCAGGAAGATGCTGACTGGCATAAACCGGCCATATCGGTGCCTCCGGAGCGTGAAAAGAGCCAGTAGTCCTGCAGGAATGTGGAAGAAGAGAGACGATACCAGCGCCCACAGGAAGATTCCATACCACATCTCTGCAGTGGGAGAGGAGGGGAGAAGAGCTCAGAAGGACAATCTTGGAATGGCTTCCATCAATAACCTTCCAGTGCACCTTCAAGTGCCTTCAAGTCTTAAAGTGGCCAAGGTTGGAGACCCCTGCTCCAATCCACAAGTCTTAAAGTGGCCAAGGTTGNCCTGGGGCTGTTGACTTCACAAACAAGGTCCAGCCCCACCTAGACTAGAATGTATGGCGTGTTGTTTTTAAATTGTTTATTTTTCTATTTTTAACGTTTTAACTTTTATCTTGTTTCTGTAAGCCGCACGGAGTTCTACGGGATTGGGCGGCATATACATTTATTAAATTACTAATTACTAAATTATTACATATTGTGTGAGAGAGAATTACAGATGATGAGAGTTAAATCTCCTAAGACATTGTAAAGGCAAAAAGTGTAAAAGGCTCTGAGAGAAATTTCAACTACCAGTCAGATTCTTCTTGATTTCTAAAAGTACTTGTTCTAATTTGGATTGTTGCTGCTGTGAAAATATGGTAGAGGATATTTTCTGCCAGGAGGAGAAACTTCACTTGTCAAGGGTCCCACTTTATCCAAGCCAGTTTTGTCTGTTGGACCCAAAGATGTGACATTTCTACAATGACTTCAGACAAGTCTGTTTGAGACCATCATCTATGCCAGCTGAGAACTTGTATAGCTACCACTACCACCACCCCATTAATTTTGCTGGGGAATATTTGAATATATTGACAAGAGAGAAATAGGATCACAGACAGGGAACCAGCCAAAGTTAGAGGCTAACTTTAAATTCCACCATGCTGCATTTCAGAGTCCTTTCCAAATTATATTTATTTCTAAAGAATGGGTTGCTAAAATTGCTGCCTTCATTTTCTCATGCCTACCAATCAGCTGATAACTTAGATATTTTTATCCTAATTTTGAGATTTAGAATTAATTTGTCAGATTGACAAATGATTCACTATTATGAGAAAAAGTATGCCTCACTGAAGATTTTTTTTCTTTAATGTATGTGGATGTAGTCACAATTTAATCTTCATTCAGACTGCATACAAAACTAAAGGTAATGTTAATTGAACAAAAAAAAACCTTGGAAATTTGACTTTGCAATTATTTGTTCAACAAAAATTAACAGATATATCATTTTCTTCTGTCAAAAAGTAAATACATGCTCAGCTCTAACACCTGGTATTGCTGTCTTTGGTAGAAACAATCTCAAGTAAGCATTCTTATAACTGCTCTCTGAATTTGGAGAATTTTTCCCCTTTCCTCTATACATATTTTTTTCCAGCTCTGCAATGTTTGAGAGATTTCTTGCATGCACAGCATCTCCAAGGGATTTCGTTTTGAGTTGTATAGTATTCAAGGAGATTACCATTTACAGCCTGTTTGCCATAATTTGGATTTTAGGATTTTATTGAAAATTTATATGCCGCCCTTTTCCCTGAGGGGACTCAGGGCGGCTTACAACAGTGAAGGNCCAGAATTCTGGGACTTGAAGTCCGGACATCTTCAAGTTGCCAAGGTTGAGAAACACTGGTCTAGACAGTCACTTGTCTGAGATGGTATAGGTTCTGCTTGAGCAGGGAACTGGACTAGTAGACCTCCAAGGTCCCTTCCAGCTCTATTCTATTCTGTTCTTTGATTGCTTTGAAACACTTCTTCCCAATTTCATCACTACCATGTCTCAGTCGCTGTTCATGTTTAGAAGCTACCTATGGACATACACTCTGTCCCTTGATTGTGTTCATTCTCCCTTCCACTCCTTTTTCAGGTCCCCTCAAACAAATACACTCTTATGTTAATCTTCCTGATCAGACCGGGTGGAACTCAAAACCATAAGGGCTAGCTGCCTGCCGCCTGGTTTCAGATCGAAATCAAGACAAAATGGCCGTTGTTTGTGGTATTTGAAGTGCTTCAGCCCAAGTCTCTGGAGAGGGTTCATAAGGAATAAGATTGAAAACATAAAAAGCCAGGCTGTCTGCGCTCTTCCCTGGTCACAGAACAGTTGAATGTAGGAATCATTTACTTAAAGCAAAGGGAAGCAGGCAGAGTCCGCCTGAAATCAATTAAACATACCATATCTCTTGCAGGAATCTCCAACCTTAGCAATTTTAAGACTCCTGGACTCCAACTCCCAGAATTATTCAGCCAGCATGGGAGTTGGAGTCTTAAAATTGCCAAGGTTGGAGATTCCTGTTCTATATAGCAAGAGATGTGGTGTGTTGGAGAGCTCTAATATAGAGGATTGATCATAGATAGTCCTCAGCTTATGACTAGTCACTTAGTGACTGAAGTTACAACAGACTTCCCTGGGGCCCTGTGACTGCTATGTGCTATGCACGCATGCACAGTACGAAAAAAAGCTGTGCATGCGCAGAAGCAAAAAATGAGAGAACCGGTTCGGGGGGGTGGCAGGCCGAGTTAGTACCTACTTGGCCGAACCGGGCCGAACCAGTAGGAACCCACCTCTGGTTGTAAGCCGAGGACTACATATATTGTGCTAAACCAACAACAGGTCATAGACAAACCTAAGCAAACCACATTATAGATGAGTGGAAGGTCTAATAAACCATTTCATATGTTGCATGCATTGAAAGCCCCCGAGTGAGGTACCTCCAATGCTCAAACTAATGTGTTTTGTCCTCTCTTTTTTTCCCTTTCCTGTTTTGGTTAGTCAGCTGATGAGAAGAACGTGGGCAAGTCTCAAGGGGAAGCAAAGGAAACCGAGAGCAACAAAATCACGGTCACCAAAGTGTTTGACTTTGCTGGCGAAGAGGTGAGGTAAGTTGGGCTCGTTTCCTTTGCATTCAACTGCTCCACTCAAACAGCAGCTAACAAGGAGGGGACAAGAGCCATGTTATCAACTGTTTTTTGCTGCAAAACGGGGGCCTTGAAGTATTTCGCAGGATTGTAAAACAGCAGAATTGTATTAAGATACGCATACGATAGGGAAATAGGGGTGCAGTGGTTAGAGGCGGAGTTCTTACCTCACAATCAGGAGGCTGGGAATTCGGTCCTCAATAGAGGCAGATATTTCTCTCTCTGGGCACAATGAGAATATATCTGCTGGACGAAACTCCGCATTGGCAACAGGAAGGGCATCTGGCCACTAAAACACTCTGCTAATTCCATTCAGTTGCCTAGACTCCGCCCTGTTTATGGGGTCATTAAAAGAAGATGATACAATAGGCAAATAAGTGACTGTTTGTGTTTCTTCAAAGCTGGTGTCCCAAAAGTGCTTTTTCCAAAGGCCACTGTGTTTTTCCTTGAAGAGATTTCACTTCTCATCCAAGCAGCTCCTTTTGATTGAACTGACCACCTTAAATTCTGTTTTATTTTTAGAATATATACAACATATTTACAACGTTTACATCTCTATTTATTTCTGAATAGATACCATCTCCTTTTGTTATATTTTCTATACACTCATTATGCCTTAATTTTACATCTCTTTTCAAGCCAATTATACCACCTATTCCCTTAGTTCCATCATTAATTTATCAATTTCCGCTCATTCTAGCACCTTTTTTATGATCC